AATTTTTATTTGTCAATTAAAAATAAAAAAATTGAAAACCACATACTATAGAGTTATATTTATAAAACCTTCAAAAATAAGCAAAATTAATCTAATGGTATCTTTAGGGGAGTTAATGACTGGGAGGGGACATAAGTCTTCTGAGGTTTCATTATTGGATGAGTTCACTTGGTAAAAATTAACTGATCTGCCTTTTATAATTTGTACCCTTGTATAGAGGCATGCTGTACTGCAATAAAAATTTACTTTTGCCTTTTAAGAATTTCATTCTTATTTATCTAAAGTGTTTCTGAGTGGATCTCTTTGTATATACACATTTTTTTAGTGGTTGCTGTAGGCATTACATTATATACACATAACTTATCACCATTTATTGATATGAACATTTTATCATTTTGAGTGAAATGCAGACTTACCTCCATTTAGGTCCCTTTACTCTTTCATTTATAATATAATTGTCTTAACATTTTTCTCTACATATATTGAGATCACATCAATGTTATGGTTATTGTTTCAACTGTTAAATACAATTTTAAAAAAGAAGAAAAGGAGATTGTCCTACATTTACACATAATTTTACACTTCACATTGTTCTTTATTTCTGATGTTCTAAATTGGCTTCTGTTATCATTTATTTTTTGTTTGAAGAATTTCCAGTAGCCATTCTTTTAGGATGGTCTGCTGACAACAAATTTTCTTATTTTTCTTTCCTATGAAACTGTCTTTGTTTTGCCTTCATTTCTGAAGAAGGTAGAATTCTGAATACAGAATTCTAGGTTGACAGTTCTCTGCTAGTACTTTAAAAATGTGGTGCCACTCCTTTCTGGCCTTCAAATTTTTGGACAAGAAATGTGTTGTCATTCAAATCATAGTTCCCCTATACATGATGTATCATTTTTCTCTATCTGCTTTCAAGATTTTTTTCTCTGTCTTTAGTTTTCAGAAGTTTGATTATAATGTTTCTTGGTGTGGATTTCTTTGGGTTTGTCCTGACTGAGGTTCACTCATCTTCTTGAATCTGTAGGTTTATTACTTTTACCAAATTTGGGTAATTTTGAGCCATTATTTCTTTTACTAGTTTTCAGTATCCTCTTCTTCTGGGATTCTGATGACACAAATATTAGCTCTTTTGTTGTTCCACAGGTTCTTGAAGCTCTCTTCTTTTTTCTCTCAGTCTATTTTTTATGTTGTGAGATTGGATAATTTCTATTGATCTATTCTTGAGTTCATTGATTCTTTACTGTCATCTACATTCTGCTATTGAGCCTATCCAATGAGTTTTTTTTTTTTGAGTTCTAAAATTCAGTTCTACAATAGGTTGTTATGTTTTTTAGTTCTAAAATTTACACTTGGTTCTTTTTTATATCTTTTATTTATTTGCTGAGACTTTCTATTTTTTCATTTGTTTCAAATGTGTTTGTAATTTCTTATTGGAGCATTGTTATAGTGCATTCTTTAAAATCTCTGACAGATAATCCCAAAATCTCTGTCATCTCACTGTTGGTATCTATTGATTGGTTCTTTTGTCATTAAAATTGAGATTTTCCTGGTTCTTGGCATGATGAGTGATTTTTTTTACTGTGTGATGGACACTTTGGGTACTATATTGTGTAATATCCTGGACCTTATTTCAATCTTCTGTTATAGCAGGCCTCTTCTGTTACCATATCAGTGAGGTAAGGGAGCTTGTGGCATCTTCTAACTACTGGGTAAGTCCATGTGCATGCTTCCCATAATGTAAATCCAGGATTCCTATTCTTATTTTTTCCATGGTGTTTGGCTGAAGGAGTGAAAATATTGTCAAAAAGATGTCTGTTTTGCTAGGCCACCCCTTTTCTGGTCCTTTCATTAATAAAGGAGATTTACTTGGGGCTATTTTTTATTTGCACCTGTAAGAATTTCTTGGTTGCAGATTTTTGAGTGTCCAATCTGGTATACACAGGGGGTAAAAAAAATACCCTGTGTCAGTCATTTAAGTTCTGAGGACTGTAGCTACCTCTGCCTTCTTCTCTCTATCTTTCAAAGTCTTCTTATGTTTGTTTTATATATTATGTCCGGAGATTTTAGTTTTACTTAATAGGAGCAATAGCAAGAAATGCATCTACTCCATCTTGTCCAGAACTGAAAGTTTGACATTAATTTGTTAAAAAACATAAAAATAATGCAATAGTTGGACTACTGGATCTTTAAGGCTGCTATCTATTCTGATTTCTGTAAATTACTCATGCAAAATGATGAAAGTGGTGGTGATTCTAATTGGAAGAGTAGGAGAAGGAGAATTTATCTTTTTGTTTTTCTAGCAGTGTCTGAGTAGGAAGGGTACCTTGGCTTTTTGATGTAGCAGGAGTTTTGCTTTGAGTAAATCAATAAATTGGCATTTACCTAGAGCTAGTAAAATTAGGATATGAAACAGAGCCTGGAAAATCCCTGACAGGGCTGATGTTCTCCATTTCTTTTGAGAGCTATATAATTAACAAAGCCCATTGAGTGACTTCAGCATCTTCCTTGTTAATTGGAAAGTTTCTTGTGTTTTTCCATGACCTTTCTGGTACTGATGTTCAACATCTCAATACATTTATGTTGTACCTTCCTAAGATGGATGGGGCTCCTTCAAGAGAACAGGAAACAACTCCCCAACTTCCTCCTGTCCCTACAGGTGCCTAGTAAGTGCCTTACACACTGTAGAGAATCATAAATATTTGATATGGTCATTCCTTCTCCTGTCAGTCTGGGTAGCATAAGCTAGTGCTCCCAATGTGCAGCCACACTGGAGAAGCAACCACTGCCGTCCTCAGAGGAGACCTTGCAGAGTAGGCTACGACCATGAGAGATGGTGTCTTTCCAGAGGAGCTTCTCCTAAAAAAGTCCAGAGTTCAGTGAGGAGGCCCACGGTGGCTACCCAATCCACTGGGGGTTGTTCATTGAAGTCTCTTTCCATGATCTTTGTGTTTGGGATGACGTCATGATTTTGAGCCATAAACCAGAGTGTTCACATCTTTGATCATTGTTTGTCAGTCGTTCCTTCCTCTCCTGCTGACTCCCATCTATTCACTCACCCTCCCGCCAACAGAGTGGGTGTATTCGTTGAACGAAAGTATGGGTGAGCGAATGTAGGAAAGGTAAAGAATGGAATCGATTGGATGCATTGGAAGCTACAAAGACTGCTGGAGACCCAGAGATTCTCATGAATTGCAAATTTATTCAACGAAGATGTTGGGAGGTAGCTGTACGGAAACCAAGGAGGAAAAACTGCAGAACAAGATGCAGCTTGAGAGCTCAATGGCTTCTTCTACGTAGGTTAAGATGTGAAGGATTTGGAAACCTCGGCAATATCACGAGAGCACTAAGCCCATCGGCGCCCACAGAGAACACCTCCAGCTCCTGGGGGACTTATTTGCTTGGCCAGGTAGGTGCCTGCTTCTGCTGGGTCTGGTGGCAGACCGGGACGCCCTTGCCACTCCCGGAGCCACCCCCTGAGGAGCTACCGCCACAGCTGGAGCCGCCGCCGCCCCCGGAGGAACCACCTCCGCAGCCAGAGCTGCCGCCGCCGCTGGAGAAGCAGCCGCCGCCCCCTGAGGAGCCGCCGCCGCCGCTGGAGAAGCAGCCGCCGCCCCCTGAGGAGCCGCCGCCG